TCTAGGTCATGAAAACTTAATATTCATAAAGGGTGAAAAAATAAAATGTTCTAAAGGGAGTGGATTGCTGCCCCTTTTCCTCCCTGTTTTCAGGCACGTGGGGCAGGCACAGAACACACTTGGATCATCATGTGAAAAGGTGGGTTTGAATCCAACAGCAGCAGATTATGGACTGAATAGCGACTCCCTTCTAGAACTTGTTTATTCTTTGGGTGAAAGTGCTGGAAAACATAAAAGGCATGAGAATGATTTCTAAAATAAGTATTTTTTTTTCTAGGAAAAACACCCCATAAGGATGAAATCCTATTTGACACTAAAAGGGCTGAAATCCGGCAGCTGCAGGCTAAGCTTCAAAGAGCTTTGGCATCCCTCTACACTAAATGATTATTTTTCTCAAGCTATTTTCATTTAATTAAACCCAGCAGTCCACCCTCTGCCCTCAGATATGTTCCCAGGGTTCTGTCTGCCAGCTCCCAGATGAGAACAAATTTAGCTCAAGGTTGTTATTCAGAGCATTTCCAGAGGCAGCTTTGGGCTGCAGCTGTCCTGTCTCCCCATGCCCTTCCCACAGCCAGCTGTTGGCTTCTCCAACCCTGAACCATCCTTGCCAGGAACAGTGGCCTGAGGACAGCTCGGCCTGGCCACAGACCAGCAGGCACCTCCTGAGAGTGTGTTCAGCAGAGCCTGGGTGGGGCCGGGCAGGGCCGGGCAGAGCCAGACAGGACAGATGCTCAGAAGATGCTGGGGGCTCAGTGCCTTGTCCACCAAGCACGGCTGAGGCAGACCTGATAAAGGGAGAGCAGCGCTGGGTGGTCCCTTGGCTTGACTTTTGCCCATAGGCAGTCTGATGGACCCAAAGAAAGTAGACGATTCCCAAGAGTGCACGTCTCATACCTCCGAAGCCGGGCCTCATGCTGAAGTCATGGTCATCTATCCGAAGAAGCTGCTCTGACTTTGTCAGTGGCGATTTGGTGATGTCAGGGCTTCGTTTCAGAACTGGGCTGCCAAGGGGAAAACAGGTTGATCACATATTCTAATTAAGCCGGATAAAAAACCATTTGCATTCGGACTTGATCTTGACAGGTTTGATGGGATATGTTAATTCTTCTTTTAAGCTACTGGGTGTCCTCTCTTCCTTGCACCAGCTTTCTGGATAAATGAACTGAAAGTCCAAGACAGTGATTTAGAAACATGACTGAGGAGCTTTAAAACACCAACGTCCAGGACCCTCCTCAGAGCTTCTGGGTGGCCTGGGAATGGGGCCTGATAGCTAACCCGGCTAAATAATTTATCCAAGAGCATGCAACGAGTAGGTGGCAGACAGATTTTGAATACAACTGAATTTCAACCCTTAGGTTAAACCATCAAGTCCTCACACAAGTGTAAAGGGGTAGAAGTTTTATTCCCCTTTTATAGTAATAAAATTGAGGTTCCACATGTTAAATCAATTGTCCAACATTCCCCTGTTTTGTGCATGTGTTCACCTTGCTTCCCATGTTATTTGTATAAATCATGAAAAGAAGCCTGGATACAAATGACCACCAACTTGTGAGCTTAGGATCTGGGTGAAATTAAGTGAGCCCTTGAAAAGTTTAGGTTACATAACATGAAAACTTAACCTGGCTGGTGGAGGGTCCTCAAGTTGGGTCCATCATTCTGGAAGGCAGTTCTGCCAAATAAGTCTGGAGATTTCAATGTTCTCAGGCCATTTGACCCTTTACTTCCAGGAGGTCATCCTAATTCAATAATTGTGTATGTAGACAAACATTCTTTTGTACAAAGATATTCTTACAATAACAAAGGAAGCAACTAAATGTCTATAAAATAGAGGAAACTGCTTGAACGGTGGTATGTTGTGCCTTATTATGCATATTATGGGTTATATGCAACCATTCAAATGGACTTTAAATAAGTAAACATGCTGACAAAGTCATATTAAATACAATAAGGTTACAAAACTATGTGCACAGAATAATCCCACACTAGTCAATATACAATATATACTTAGGTAAGAAAATACTGGGAGGAAAATGTACAAAAATGTTAAGGTTATTTCTGGGTTTGGGGATTATGGATGATTTCTGTGTGTTTTTAAAACTCTTTTCTCATTTAACAAAATTTAAATAATTGTCATGTATGTCTTTTATAATTAAAAAAAATGAAAGTTCTTATAAGCAATTTTTTTTTAAAGAAAATCTGTTTTGCTCTCCAGGACTTCTCTTTAATATTGGTGTTTATCAATAAGCCACCACTCTAACTCCAGCTTAGGAGAGAGGCGGAGAAGTTTTTGATGACAACAATAGGGTTTGTTGCTGCTGTTGCTTTTAATCCTCATGAGCACAGTTGATTCAAATAATCTCTGTGGCTGCAACAGCTCCACAAATTCCACTGTTTGCTCAAGCAGCTTCTGACTCTGACAGAAACAGGACTTATGGCTTGTGCACAGCCATCTCTCTCCGTGCCCAGGACTCGCCATGACCACTGGCTGGTTCAGCTCCCGGCTTTGTGATGTTGCTAAAGCAGCCTGTAACCGGTGCTGTGAGCCACAGCCGGCTGTTCAGGAGCCACGTGTGCAGCGCTCTCTCAAACGCTGGATCAGGGCACTGAGGAGCCAGACACCCAGCCCCCCGCCAGCCCCAAACTCCAGAAAGCTGGACTTCCTTTATATTAATTTCTTTTCCAACCTCTATTCATATCTACATCCACAGATAAAGACAGCTGAAGCTCAGTTTGGACCAAAGCCTGGGAAGGAACCAAGAGTCAAGCATGTCCTTACTGCCTCTATTTCCTCTTCAGTGAAGAAAGCGCTGGGTGAGGTTTTCTCCAAAAGTCCTGATTGATCGATGGATGTTGGGCACGCACGTGTGCAGGTCGGCACCTACATACCAGCGCTGTCATCAGAGCTGCCCAAGTGACTCTGGGTGAGGGAGCAGCAGCCTGGCTCTGTCTAAGCTCCCTCCTCTCGGGCTGGTACGGCCAGGGTGGCACGTACCATGTTGGCAACGAGCAAGCCAGCCGGTCTGCTGGCAGCTCCATCCCTCACCCTCTCCATTTACCAAGAGAAGACAAGCTAATGATCCTTCTAGCCATTATTGTTCAAAGCAACCTGCTTTGTTTCCTTTTAAATGATTTTTAAACGGACCCACAAATCCAGCAGAAATAATTAGAACTAATAGGATCATTCTCACTAATTTGAGGTCCCAGTGGTTGAGAATTTGTAGATTTGTTCCAACTTAGAATGCAGATATAAAATAATTTGCCTTTAATTTTTTTTTTTTACAAATGTGCCTATACTGTATTTGTTTTTCCAGAATTTATCTCTCACCTGGGACAATTCATAAGAGATTTAAGAATATGCAATGATAGCGATGTATCTGATCTGGCATCATTTAAAAATAAAACATAATTCTCACTTCCTAAGAGGAGGGAAGCAGGAGAACAAAGGGAAAAGGAAGGAAAAGGCATCCGCAGATAGCACCATAGGCTGGGAAAGGTTCCAGGACAACATCGTAAGCCTTTTCCCTACGCCCTCCACCCCTAAATGTCCACTCACCTGCCTTTCTTAGACATCTCCTGGCCTTCTCCTCCTCGCCAGTGCACTCTGCTTTCAGTGGCACAAACCCATCCCCACCACAAAAGGAAGACGCCAGCTTTCATATTCTGGACAGCCAAATCCAAGCAGTTCTCTCAAGAAACAGCAAAAAGGAAAAGACTGTTATTTTTCTCTCTTAAGACATTATTGGTCTGTTCATTATTAGAAGGATATTTGCTCATGCAAAAAAACCAAAACACAACAAACATACTAACCCACAGCATGTAATCTGGAGAGCAGGAGAAAGCAACTTCCACTAAACCTATAAATCCTCCTACGTCAGATGTCAGGGATTTTCTGAACTGAAGTAGAAGTCCTGTTTCCCAGTGGAACAATTATTTTGACTGGTCTAAATTACTTCATCGTCAGATGTGGTAAATATGTTTGTAAACATCTATATTTTCTGGTCCAATGAAGAAGCAAATAAAAATGAACCAACGCCATTTCCAAACTGAGAAATGTCGGAGGTGCGGAACTGCTCCTATGCCACATGAATGTGCTCCTTTCTGCATCTATTTTAAGCTTCCAGCAATTATCATTTGCTTTAGCTGGATTTGGACAGCTCCCTGCCCCCACTCTTTCTGTGGTTGAATCTGTGGAACCAGGGCTGGTACTGGGCACAATCAAACCATGAATGCTTATTCAATCATCTGGTGATTCTCTGAACAATCCCTCAAATATTTGGGCAAAAATCCTTGGGAGTTGGGCACCTTGGTCTCCTTCCTGTGAGGCAACCCTTATGTCTTGTTCTGCAAGCTCTTTCCAACACACTAGGTTTTTAAAAATGTCTTTTTTTATTTAAATGAATTAGAGGTTATAAATATGAATGAGCAATGAAGAGTCAGTATGAAAAAAACACATACATATAATCCTCCACCCTCAAAAAAGAGAATGAAGAAAGGCAACACTAAGGATTTCTACTTTTAAAAAATACCATGGCTTGCTATTTTAGATTACTTGAATTTATCTCTCTATCAGGCTGGAAATGAGCGTTCTTATGAAGTACAAGGTACTTTCAGCAGGGTCATGGACATCTTAGATGGCTTTGAACTTTTCTTTTTGCAGTGCTTTGGACATTTTTGACTTGCTGTACTGCACTCTCTTTTGGAGATAATCCCTCTAAATTATAGATCCGTCTAGGAGTAGGAACAAATAAATATTTATAAAGTGCTGTGTCAATGAAACACTAATATCACAGAAGTAATATGCAACAGTATCCTCAATAAATGACCCATGGAAAACTGAAGGGAGTCCATCAATGCAAAATACAGAGGCTTGACTCAAGCTGGCTTAACCAAAAATGTGTTACCTCACAAACCAAGAAGTCCAGGCCACGGGTTTTTTTTTACTTAGTGGTGTCATCAACAAGCCATCCTTTCACGTGTCCTTTTTCCTCTGGCCATCTTATTCGCACCTGCAATATGGCTGCGAGAGCAATGAGTCTCCTTGCTTGTATCCAATGTGAAAGCCAGAGGGCAAACCTCTTCCCAGAACATGGAGGATAAGCCCTTCCCTTCAGTCTGACTGGGCCGAGGAAGGTCATCAAGTCCACCCCTGGACCAGTAAACTTTATCAGAGAAACATGTGCTTGGATCGGCTTAGACCAGTGATTTTCAACCAGAGTCACAAGTTTTGTTTTTTGTTTTTAATTTATTGTCTAAAGTTTTACATATGTCTCCTTTTTCCCCAATTGACCCCCTCCCCGACCCCAGCCATTCCCACCCCAGGCAAGCCACCACCACCCCAGTGTCTGTGTCCATTGGTTATGCTAATATGCATGCAAACAAATCCTTTGGTTGCTCTCTAACCTTCCCCCTCCCCTGCCATTTGTCTCTGCATCTATTCTTGTTCATCAAATTATGTTGATCATTATATCCCATATATGAAAGAAATCATGTGATATTTATCTTTCTCCAACTGGCTTATTTCGCTTAGAATAATGCTCTCCAGTTCTATCCATGCTGTTGCAAATGGTAAAAGTACCTTCTTTTTTATAGCAGCGTAGTATTCCATTGTGTAGATGTACCAGTTTTCTAATCCACTTATCTGCTGGTGGGTACTTAGACTGTTTTCCAAATCTTAGCTATTGTAAATTGTGCTGCTATGAAAATTGGCATGCATATATCCTTTCTGATTGGTGTTTCTGGTTTCTTGGGATAGAGCCCTAGAAGTGGGATTACTGGGTCAAATGGGAGTTCCATTTTTAACTTTTTGAGGAAACTCCATACTGTTTTCCACAGTGGCTGCACTAGTCTGCATTCCCACCAGCAGTGCAGGAGAGTTCCTTTTTCTCCACATCATCGCCAGCACTTGTCGTTTGTTGATTTGTTGATGATAGCCATTCTGACAGGTGTGAGATGGTATCTCATTGTTGTTTTGATTTGCATCTCTCAGATGATTAGTGACTTTGAGCATGTTTTCATATGTCTCTCGGCCTTCTGTAGGTCCTCTTTTGAAAAGTGTCTATTTAGATCCTTTGCCCATTTTTTGATTGGATCGTTTATCTTCCTTTAGTTAAGTTGTACCACAAGTTTTTAAAAAATGCAATCCCTGACTAGTCAGGGGCACTGGTCCCTTTTTTCTTAGATTGTCAAATTAAAAATGATAACAGCTGCCTGGCCAGCATGGCTCAGTGGTTGAGCATCGACCTATGAACCAGGAGGTCGTGGTTCTATTCCCTGTCAGGGCTCATGCCCGGGTTGTGGCCCGATCCCCAGCGTGGGGTATGCAGGAGGCAGCCAATCAGTGATTCTCTCTCATCATTGATGTTTCTCTCTCTCTCTCTCCCCCTTTCTCTCTGAAATCAATACAAATATATTTAAAGTATCAGGAAAAAACATTTTAAAAAAAAATGACAACAGCCAACACAACAATAGCTGTCTGCTCTGAATGAATCAAACTTATACCTTTTCTTTTTGTCAGATGGGCAAAAAAAAAAAAAAAATTTTTTTTTTTTTTGGTGTGCTGAATCATTTTAGTCATTAGTTTATGTGTGGCATGAGATGAGAAAGGTTGAAAGTTGCTGACTTAGACAAATCAAGACCCCCCTCTGGACCAGGGACGGAGCAGGTGCTTGAACAAATCCGTGGTTCGAATTCAGGAGAGAGGAAAACAGAGCGAATTCGGGCTCAGCCGCCAGGGGTGCCCGCCACGGCTGTGAAGCATCTGGAGACTGAGTTCATAACATGCTGCTGCTGCTTCCAAAGGCCCAGTGTCTCCTGTGAGCAATGAAATGCACGCCCATGTGAGAGTGCTTGGGAGTGCAGCTGAGTTCACAATGGTCTTTAGCCATGTATTTTCTCCACCCAGACATTGAACTATGATGACACTATCTGACTAGAAAGAAGGAAGGAAGCCTTCATGTTGTAGGCCTTCAAATAAATTGCAGTTTCTGTGGGAGAGTCAGTGCAGCCCTGTCTCCCTCTGCTGGAATTATAGGAAATTTGTTTAAGGCAACTTTTTATTCGTTTCCAAGTCTGTTTTTAACAGAAACATGCAGGCCTCCAGGTTCAAATATAATTTTACAAGGAGTCCCTGGGTTTCTTGTTGATGGAGTGTGATCGCCTTGTCACAGTCCAGGGGAATGGTTGAGGCAGAAGAGGAAATGTGGGGAGAAGAGGAAATGCTAAGAGACCGTCTGGGCCTGCAGCCACAGTGGCTGTGTGGAGCCCTTCATGGGGTCTGCTAGGAAGGAAGAGGGGGCGCCTCAGCAGCATTACGTGGTCTGAGGGCCGAGTACAAGATACAGGATTTCTTTTGTTGCCTCCAAACAACCCAACCACTACTGAATAACTGCAGTAGTTTGCAATGGAACGGTCCTTTGGAATTTACAAAACATTTTCACATCCTCAATTCCATTTGGCCCCAGATCCAGCCTCAGCAGTAGGCATAGCAGGTCCCCTTCACTTCATTGGTGAGGAACCTGAGGCAAGTGGACATTGACTTATTTTTCCCAGGACATGTGAATAAATAGAAAATTTCCTGCTTTTGATCCCAGGACCTGTGCTTTCTCCTTCCTGAAGTGAACGGTCTTGTAACATGATTTCATTTGTCACCCAGTTTCTTTACTTACCATGTTGCCCAAGGCATTTTGATGACAAGTCAGATCTTTTAGTTAATTAGTTCCAGATTATTCCCTGCTAATTAGAGGGACTGATTCATCTGAATGAAGTAGAGGTTTTCTGGAGATGGTAAGAATAATTTTTTTTTAATGAGAAGCCGCATTTGGAAATGTTCAACTCTTAAAAGAAAAGAAAGAATTTTTAAAAACTCTTTCATATATATATGATTTCAGAGAGGAAGGGAGAGGGATAGCGAGACATCAATGATAAGAGAGGATTATTGATCAGCTGCCTCCTGCCCGCCCCCTACTAGGGATTGTGCCTACAACCCGGGCATGTGCCCTGACTGGGAATCGAACCCTGACCTCCTGGTTCATAAGTCGACACTCAACCACTGAGCCACACTGGCTATATATAAATTAAATTTTATAACAAAATACACAACATGCTTAAATTGAACTCATGGGCAAATGTACAGCAGAAAAGAAGGACCATTTAATGTCTGACTTTTTGTTATTGTTGTTTTATTGATTTTGACTTTATAGAGAAGGGAGGGGAGAGAGAGAGCAAAACATTGAATTGAGAGAGAAACATCAATTAGTTGCTCTCCGTATGTGTCCTGCAACCTAGGTATGTGTCCTGACCAGGATTCGAACCCGCAACCGTTTTAGTGTATGGGGCAATGCTCCAATCAACTGAGCCACCCCGGCTGGGCCTGACTAACTTTTTTCAGCATGTGACTATCTTGATTCACAGATTAACTTTAGTTGCATATAATTCCTTAAAATAAGTTAACATCAACCTCACTCTCTCTTTGAATCTGTTGAAAAAGTAAAAACAAAATAGCAAGCCTCGGAGTGTATTCTTGTCTCCATTTTTTCAAATGACTTGGTTCTCTGCTTTAAGGAGGGGAAAAAACACTGGAGATCTTTAAAAGTCAGTGAAATGAATAGTTTTTGTAGATTTGAGTTCACCTTCTGCCTTCTGAGGGTTGGGGTTAGACTTTCCCTAGGGGCTTCTGAAATCACCCTGAATAGTGCTCCTCGCTCTGCCATGCCACCAGGAGAACATCCAGAACAGCTCAGATGTGAACATGAGTCACAGGCTTGGAGGGATTGCAGTCCTTGATCACGGGAGGCCTGAGCTTACCTTAGGTGTCTCCTAGAACCGTGACTATTCCAACTGGGAGAGGTATTAGACCAGGCTAATCTACCTCATTTACCAACAGTAAACAGGTCCAGATGGGTTCTTTGGTTTTGGCTGCTTTCTCCAAGTGGCCATAAAGTCATAGGAGGTGCTTGTTTTCATTGGTTCTTTTTGGATATATCTGGTAATTTCCTGTCTGTTCAATGCCAGAGATAGAGCCATCCCATCCCTGGTGATGTGGCCTTTAGGCCCATGACTCCTGCTTCTAATTGTAGGGTAGACGATGCTAGGGAGCAGCGCAGGTGGCTTTCTCGATTGGTTCTTGAATTGAAAA